CGGACACTTCTATCCAGCGTGCTACCTTTCCCTGGAGAAGACAAGGAACAGCTATTTAGAGCAGCAAACACTGCCCCAACAGCTGATCACATCTTCCATCTGTTCGCAGCTCAACACAGACCACTGAACTGCTGCCAAAGCAGTTTAAAAAAAAAAAAATCCAGCAGCTTTTTCTAGGAGCAACTGCCATCCATGCACACTCCCAAAAACTAGTCCTTGCTGCCTATTGCAGTGCAAAGCTCCTGGCCCCTCCTGCACCACCAGCAATTCAACTCCCACAGCCACCTTCTAAGACAAGTAGAAGACGAGACCAGAAGAGAAGCCCTAAAGCCCAGATGACATGGCTGACAAGTCTGCTCTAGATCGAGGGAGTCCAAAGCTCTGGACTTCAAAATAATGACTTTTCTAACCCTGTAAAAACTTAGTTATTTACCTGGATGATTGTGGTCTCATGTTTTTGAAGTTCCTTCAGAAGCAGACACTGAACAAAGCTACTACAAACCAGTTCAACAGATCAATGTGTTAAAGGAGGACTACTGTAAAGATCTACTGTGCATGAGGACCTAACTTTGTGATGTTCCACCATAAGTAACACTACAGACGCATCTGCAATCTATTCTGTTTTGTTTCTCTAGGCCTGAGAAGAGACTATGCATCGCAATATTTCATGGAAGCGCCCAGAGCTTTTCTTCTGAGAAATGCACAGCGGAGTCAATCTTCTGTTTCCTCCCTATAAATGAGCAAAGTTCATCTCAACACTTCTGAGCTCCAACTTTAAAAAAAAAGGAAGAAGCCATAACTGAATAGGCAAGTAGAGGCTAAGCATGGCCTCCCTACAGAGATTTTTCATACTATCCAACTTTGGGCACCCAGCTTGTACGAAAGTCCCTCAAGGCTTCCTCTAATAAAGAATGGAGAGAGATGGCCACTCTACAGAGTGATGCAGAACAGGAGTGCCTCCCTCTCAGACACCTGAGTGTGTTCTATCATTACTAGGAATTTTGAGATGGGGAGAACTACACTTGTGGCTTGTGCAACAGATGGCAAGTTGATTATTTAAGAACATGGTTAAAGTTCACACACTAAGAAAGCTTTTTCTCCAGCACTATCACCAGTCTAACATGAACAACTTCAGTTCAACAGCCTCAAACAGGCTTGCAGGTGACCCCATTGATTTTTTTCCCTTAAAATCCACTTGATAAAGCAGTGCTCAGACTAACTTCTGCACCACTAAAGCAGCTGTACATTCTATTTAAGAAAATAAATAGAAAAGATATAAAAAAGAAAATATATACTTCAGGAAAATTACTATGTTGCTCAGACCTATCTTTAATACTATTTCTAGTGTGTTTCCTCACACGGCTAGGAGGTGAAGGTCACATGTCATAGGCTGCCTTGAATTTTTACAATATAAAATTAAGTAATTCTTATGTCAAAAAAATAATGGCATATTTGTTTTATTGCCTTCTCAGACAAGCCTCAATTTGGGTAGTTCCCATAATAACATTAAGAGTGGCATCATAAATGTCATTTCCCAGTTGAACTCTTTATTTGCAGCACAAGAAATCTGGAACTTGTAGATTAAGATATTAACGGAGAAAGAGAACTGAACTGCAGCATTCTTTTATCCACTTAACCCAAATTTTTTCTTCTGTTTAATTATCCTAGAAAATTTCACATATGGAATATGCTTTCTCAAAGCAGACCAGTCCAAAGCTACCTCAGTCACTATTAAAATAAAAAAGTTAGCACAAGAAAGGAAAATGTAGGAACTGTTTTCATTACCTTAACAAAAGAGGATATATGACCTCCTTTCCCACCAGTGAAGAAGTCCCCACAAATATTAAATCTTCTTTGATTACCCAGATCCATATAAACCTGGAACACTGCCTAGCACATCCATGAAGCCCTGTACATCCTAAGCAAAGCAAGTTTATTTTCTGGTTATTTCTCCTAATAACTTTTCCACAACACATCTTCAGCAGACCTGTATTTAATAAGGACCACCCTCACTACACATACATCAGGGACTAAACATTAGTCTTGTAGGCACCAAACACCATCAAATTTAATTTCTCCATCCACTCAGCTCTCCTTGCATGGCAAAGAGAATAGAGTAAGCCTGGATCCCTTCCTTGCACAGACTGTAAAGGAGAAAGGATCTGAGGGGTCCCCTCAAGATGGGATACCGTTGCAAAAGGATAAATGCCATAACCAAGAAAAGAACATGATATTAAATACCTAAATGAAGCTTCAGATACTGTTTGGGATCAACTGCAGGACAAGAACCCTGAATATTCTCATCAATATGCATGTATTTCAGAACTAACTTTTCATATTAATCTAGATCCAAATTAAATCAACAAGGTTTTGTTTCACAGTCAGGAAACAAAAGTCTGGAGAGGAAGGGATTCACTATGTTTTCTCGAGTAAAAGATTTCTCTCTCTCAATCTCTCTCAACCATTTTGCAACCAATACAGCAAGGGGGCGGGGGGGGGGGGGGGGGGCCCAACAC